AAGCAGCAAAACAGAGGCTGACATCTTGCTTGTTTGTAGGTGACCAAATACTTATTTTCCACCATAATTTGCAAAAAAAATATTTCTAAATCAGACAATGTGATTATCTGGATTTGTTTTCTCATTTTGTCTCTCATAGTTGAGGTCTACCTATGATGTAAATTACAGGCCTCTCTCATCAAGTGGGAGAACTTGTACAATTGGTGGCTGACTAAATACTTTTTTGCCCCACTGTATATTGAGGGATGTATGCAGCGGGGTACCACAAGGCTACATCTTAGGCCCAGTACTCTTCATAAATGATTTAGATGAGGGGATAGAAAGAAACTCATCAAATTTGCAGATGACACTAAGCTGGTGGCAATACCTAATACTTTATAAGATAAGCTCAAAATCCAGAATGGCCTTTACAGACTGGAATATTGGGCTGAATCCAACAAAATGAAATTCAGTGGTAAGAAAAGTAATGTTTTACACTTAGGCAAGAAAAACCAAATGCACGGATATAAAATAGAGGGTACATGGCTTAACAGCAGTAACTGTGACAGAGTTCTGGGAGTTCTAGTGGAAATCTGAGAGTTCTAGTGGACAACCACTTAAACATGAGCCAGCAATGTGCTGTAGTAACAAATAAAAGCCAATGAAGTCCTAGGCTGCATTAAGAGAGGGATAGAATCTAGATCACATGAAGTGTTAGTACCATTAATAATGCCTTGGTAAGACCACCCTTGAATATTGCATCCAATTCTGATTGGCACAATACAAAAAAGAATGTTGAGATTCTAGAAAGAGTTCAGAGAAGAGCAACAAAGATTTTTAGGGATGAATGGATCCCAAAACATTGGAAGAATGATTGAGTAACTGGATATATCTAGTCTAATGAGGATAGGGGTGACATAATTGTAGTCTTTGAATGTTCAAAGGGCTGCCACAAAGAAGAGAGAGTTATCTTATTTCCCAAACCATCTGGAGGCAGGACAAAAAACAATAAATTTAAACTTACTAAAGGGAGATCCAATCTAAAACTAAGGAGAAATTTCCTGACAGTGAGAACAATTTATCAGTGGAATGACTTGTCTTGAAAAGTTGTGGATGCTCCATTACTGGAGGTTTTAAGAAGAGACTGGACAGCCATTTGTCTGATTTGGTATTGGATCTCCTGCTTGAGTAGGGGATTGGAATAGAAGACTTCCAAAGATGCTATTGCCTTGATGCCTATTTGTATTGTGTTTTAACATGCTGCTATCTACTTAGAATTGCTTCAGTGAGTTGGGCAGTCATACAAATGAAATAATAATAGAAATTACAAAGAATGGTATTGGTGCTTGAGCAAAATGGACTGCTGTTCTAATCTATCTTTCCAGTTTCCTATACAGTTGATATTTTATTTATATATTAGACCACATACCAGTGTGAATGATAGGATTTCTTTAAGAATTACCTGGACTGACATATCCTCTGGCTTACTAGAACGTGTTAGAACTGCAACACAACGATTAAAGGCTTCTTGCAAAACCTGTAAGAATGGACATTTGTTTGTAGATTGCCAAATGGAAAACTATCAAAAGTTGGTCATAGAAAGCTACCATGTTTCCCCGAAAATAAGACAGGGTCTTATTTTCTTTTGACCTCTGAAATAAGCATTTGGCCTTATTTTAGGAGAGGTCTTATTATTTTTGAGGTGCAGGAGGCGGCGAGCGTGGTAATCTCATGGCTGTTGTTGGATTGCAATATTTTCGGGGAAGGCTTATTTTTGGGAGAGGGCTTATTCTAGCATATACGCTCAAAAGCCTAATTGGGTTTATTATCCGGAGAGGTCTTATTTTTGGGGAAACAGGATATGTATAACAACTCTGAACAATATTTTAAAGATATAATACAGATGTAGACAACCTAGTATTTCCACACCAAATCCTATTAATCTTAGCCAGCAGCAGCAGAGGCATGGATTTATGGCAGATGAAGAAGTCTGTAACACTATGGCACTATGATATCTATTTCTGCTACAAACTGAGATTTAATAGCGAAATATTTACTTGCTCATAAACATTTCTAGTATTCTACAATGTGAAATCAAAACAGCAGAGCTTTAAAACCACTTCTGTTTGTTCAAACTCAAAGGCAGTTTTATGTTTAAAACTTTGTATTTATACCATAGTGCCTGTGAGAGCAAATTAAAATTCCTGAAAATATTTAATAATAATATTATTAAAATCCATTTGTCCCCTTTGTAGAATATAATACAACAAAAATTTCAGTTAGTAAGTTTGAATATACCTCTATTCCATTCTCTCTCCTTAGTTCTTCTGCATTAAGTGCTGAACAATTGACTGTGTAGAAGGCTAATTCTGCGGCAGCTGGCAACAGAGGAGACTCTTTGGAAAACAGGAGGTTGTCTGAAGTTTCTATTATGATTGTCTTAATCAACATTGGATAGCCTGCATACTTATATGGCTTCAAATCTGGAAAGGAACAGAATGTCAGAAATCAATATCTGCAACGAAATCTTTGAAGTTAGGATTCTAGTTATTCTATGCCACAAGTTATACTTCTATGATTTTTAAAATATTCCTGCTATTAATATTTTAGAAGAGTCATTGAATCCCACTGAGAACCCTAACATGTAATATCTTTTGCTAGCTTTTCTTTTCTAAAACAAAAATGATATTTCCTCAGAAATGTTAATAATTAAAACTAAAGAAAGTTTAATAAATGTATAAAATTATCTGGAATTCATTCTTTGTATGTCACATCAAAATCTATTCCACACACAAAGTTGGAGATAACACTAGAGATTTCTGATAGCTCAATAACTTTCTCAAGCAAGAATATGGTTGAAACATATTGCTTTGGGGGAAAGTGAACTAGAATTACTTGTAAAAATATAGAAGTTGCCATTCTGTTTTAGACATAGAATAACTGAGTTTGAAGGAACCTTGGAAGTCTTCTAGTCCAGTCCCGCTCAGGCAGGAAACCCTGCACCACTTCAGACAAATGATTATCCAGTATCTTCTTAAAAACTTGCAGTGTTGGGAGCATTTACAACTTCTGGAGGCAAGTTGTTCCACTGATTAATTATTCTAATTGTCAATACTTTTCCTCAGTTCTAAGTTGCTTCTCTCCTTGATTAGTTTCCACCCATTGCTTCTTGTCCTACCCTCAAGTGCTTTGGAGAATAACTTGACTCCCTCTTCTCTGTGGCAACCCGATATCAGAACACTTCTATCATGTCACCCCTAGTCCTTTTCATCAGACTAGACACTGATGAACTGTCAAGCAACTGTTCTTTATATGTTTGAGTCTCCAGTCCCCTAATCATCTTTGTTAGCAATAGCAATAGCAGTTAGACTTATATACCGCTTCATAGGGCTTTCAGCCCTCTCTAAGTGGTTTACAGAGTCAGCATATTGCCCCCAGCAACAATCCGGATCCTCATTTTACCCACCTCGGAAGGATGGAAGGCTGAGTCAACCCTGAGCCGGTGAGATTTGAACCGCTGACCTGCTGATCTAGCAGTAGCCTGCAGTGCTGCATTTAACCACTGCGCCACCTTGGCTCTTCTCTGCACTCTTTCTAGAGTCTCAACATCTTTTTTACATTGTGGCGACCAAAACTGGTTGCAGTATTCCAAGTGTGGCTTTACCAAGGCCTTATAAAGTGGTATTAACACTTCACATGATCTTGATTCTATTCCTCTATTTATGCAGCCTATAACTGTGTTGGCTTTTTGGCAGCTGCTGCACACTGCTGGCTCATATTTAAAATGGTTGCCCACTAGGATTCCAAGATTCCTCCCACAGTTACTACTATTGAGCAAGGTACCACATATACTGTATCTGTGCGCTTTGTTTTTCTTGCCTAAATATAGAACCTTACTTTTTTCACAATTGAATTTCATTTTGTTAGATAGTGTCCAATGTTCAAGTCTGTATCTTAAGCCTATCTTCTGGAGTGTTGGCTATTCCTGCTAGATTGGTGTTTTCTGCAAATTTGATGACCCCCTCTACCCCCTCGTCCAAATCATTGATGAAGATGTTGAAGAGTACTGGACCTAAAACAGAGCTTTGGACCAACCCAGTGTATACTTCCCCCCATGTAGATGCAGTTCTATTGAGGAGTGCACATTGAGTGTGATTGGTCCGTTACTAATCCACCCGGTGGTGATGTCTTACCCACATTTTTCTATTTTATCAAGTATTTTATCAAATATCAAATATTTTATCAAGTTTTGCAATCAATTATTTTTTACTTTATATCAAGCTTCACATTTTCTAACAAGTTCCTCTCTTTTTTTGAGAGAAAATACATTTAATATAAAATTATCAGACTTAAATATTTTGATATAACTGCATGGGTATATTTTTCACTATTTTTAGTTTGATATATTCATTTGGAACTGTATATTAAGCTTCATTCATTAATTACAAGATGAGAATCTACCAAACGTTGAAACTCCAGCAATTTTGCTGGTTGTTAATAATTCCTAAGGATTGCAGTATTCTAGCACTGAAGTTCTTTAATAACTGTGGAGATATGTATTTGCTAAATTTTTACTAATACATTGGTTACTAGATCTAATTACCTTCTCTGTGTCTGTTAAAAAGGATACTCTGAGTTTTCAAAATCAGAATTATATTCTCTGGATCTGGACCATCAACAATTTTAGAGGACTTTGTGCAGAGAAACTCATATCCTTTATTGACCTTTTCAAACATATCCTGTAGTTTAAAAAAAGGATAAAGAAAATACTATCTGAAAATGAATTTAATAATGTTGCAAAGTAAGTTTTTTAGGAGTAAGTATACATAACACATAATCTTCAGTAATGCTGTTCCTTCTTTTTTTATTCTACAATCTATTATTCTGTCAAAAAAATTTGCAATATGCAAATATTAAATACAGTACTTGCTATAGCATAACTCATAACTTGTCCACAACTTGATTGCCTGATACCAGAACAGGGAATTATGATTTCTAAAGGCAGTAATAAACTAATCTTAACTCTGACAATAGCTAGCCTTTACTCACACCCCTCTCACCTCAAGTTTGATCTCCCTATGCTTGTGTTGCTGCAGTTTGAAAGACTCTTTTCCTCAAATGTTAGGTGGAGATCTTTCCTTCCTTATAGATTATCCCCAGCAATTCACTGGACACATTACAGAGAAAGGAACACCCTTCAACTGAGTTAGAGCTTGCCAGCAACTCTAATTATTGCATTTTGCAACTTTTCCGGCAAAAAGGATCCACTAGATAAACTGGATTTGGACTTATGACTATGTGATTTGCTTAACAATCATTCACTGACTCGCTTAGTAAAAACAGTTGTAAAATTGTATCACGATGATTCAACTGATGACTGCAACAACTATGGCCAAAGTTTCAGGCTCAATTATGTTATAAGCCAAGGACTACCTGTATGAAAATATCTTCAGGAATACTTAACCACATGAAATAAAAAATTGCCCATTAATTTCTTGGGACAAAAATGTGGGAGGGCACAGATGCAAAGAAATTATTCAATAAAGAAATGACAACTTCAGTTCAGATTGGATTTCTTTATGTTAGCTTAGAGTCAAGTCAGCCTAAGCATAGGATAGGAAAGCTTAAATGGTAAATATAGATATTCTAAGAATTTTTTTCAATGCAACTTACTGACCTATTTCAGATTTTTCATAGCGTCATCCCCCTTCCTAATTCATGAATCTTTATTTATAATATTGCTTAATTAATAATATTCAGAAACTTGTAAGTGAATTTGTAACTTCAGACCTGGCCTAATAAATGTTAGTTAATATGGATTTTGGATGAAAGCAAGAACTAAGAATATACAAAGGAATGCATATATTAATGTATTCTATTTTGTAAAGTAAGTGGCAACACTTAACATACTAAAGGTTCTGTTACTGGATTAGGATACACTTCCTCTAAGCATCACACATATTTAATATAAGACACTTACCCGACCTTCTGGGTTCTTGTCAGGGTGGTATTTCTGAGCCAGTTTAAAATAAGCTTTCCTGATCTTACTTTCATCATGTCTATAAAATACATAAAAGATTATATGTATCTACAATTCAATAGTCTTGTTAGTCAGAAGAAAAAATGCATTTGTAGACCTTTTGCATCTATAACATTAAATTTTAATTTTGGCAATAGAGTCTATGAAATAGTTGATCTGATCCACTCAAATTATACATTTTGTGTAATTTGTCTGTACGTTACTCTATGCTGAATTCAGATAGCAGTATAAAGGCTTAAATCCATTAAGGATTTCAATTATATTTTGTGTAATTATATTTTATAATTAGAAACTTACAGCCCTTGACCCTTTGGTAGATTCAGAACTTCATAAGCATCATCTATGGACATTGTAGGTGCCTTCTTTTCAACCTCCTTCCTCCAGGTTTCCAGAGTGTCTTTTAAGAGTTTAACCTGAATATAGAAGATTTCTATTTAGCTTTTCCATGTAAGGGCTTTTTATGCAGTATTCACAACTTCTAATATTTCTAACTATGGATGGTAGCTATACTTAACAAATTTGGGATGGTGGAGTGGACCACAACAGGCAGGGTGATAGTAGCAAATGGATGGTTGTAGAATTTTCTGGTTTGGATGGGGGAGGGTTCTTCTTAAAAATTCCTTACATTATATTTTTCATGACTTCATAATGATAAATGACTATGGTGCTAATTTTTGATAACATGGTCACAAAAGTTCTTTCAAAGAGTTATTTTCAAGAAGAATAGAAAGGAAAAAACTGTTATGTTATTTTTCCTTGTATTTCTTATTTTTTGCAAATATGGAAGAACAATGTCAACTAATTTAAATTAAACATATGTGTCACAATTGGAGCATAATCAGCCTGACAGCCATGAGGATAGGGATTGCACGTCTCTTGGCATACTTCCATATATTTCTTAAGTCCACAATGTTAGAAACTAGGAAGATGACCACAAATTGACTTACAGGATCTTTAATTGGCCAATCAGGAAACCGAAGCTTATCACAAAGATGTCTGAGGTAATAAATATTGCAAAACAGCTCATTTTCCAGTTGAGGATAACTGATAACTGGTATGGGGCAGTACTGGTAAAGTGCTCTTGTATTACTTTGAAGACGAGGGGTGAAGTCAGCAAGGTGTGCCGCTATCTTCTCTATCATTAGCCGCCTGCAAATTACAAATATCTCTTTAATCAAAGAAACATTAAAATTCTTTCAGGCACTGATTTTATTAGACATTAAATCTTGTACTTTGTGACAAGCTGCAAAATATCGAATGAATTAATTATTGGCAGCAATTTTCAATGGGAATATAATGAAATATGCATTTTGTTTTACAGGATATGTTAAGTTAATTACCTCATTTCATTGCTCCAAATGGCTTCTGGAGTATCAAATTCACCCAAAAAAATTTCAGAAAATTTTTCTGGTTCATAATTTTCCAAATAACACACCATAGCTTCTGGGAGGATATGCCCCAAAATGCTTCTCTGAACTATATCTTGACCTTTTGCCTAAAAAAGAAACCAGGAACACAAATAAGTGTAAATAAACATGTTAACATTAAAAAATAAAAAATTAAATAAAAAACAAATTTATTAAAAAAATAAACATGCTAATATTAAAACGTTACTTTTTTTTTAGTAAAAAAATTGTGAATACTTTTGCAGATGTTCAGAATAATTTATTCTTAAATGTGTGAGATATTTATGTTTTATTTATTGTATTTGAATGCTGCCCATTTTACCTAGGGGTGGCTCTAGGTGGCTTATGGTAAAGGTAAGGTAAAGGCTCCCCTGCACATGCATTCTAGTAATTTCCTGCTTACAACCTAATAAAAGCAGCATAATAATTGATTTAACCATCATGATGTCCCCTTTTAATTTTAGACAACAGGATTTGAAATTTAGCAGGTCCAAAATGACTGAACAGAACTTTTATTTACTTGAAATTTCATTTACTTAAATACAAATAAGATAGTTTATTGACTGATTAGCCTTATGACCTACAACCGTATCAAAAACATAAAGGAAAAATAAAATATAATATATAGTACTGTGCAAAAGTTTTAGGCAGGCGTGAAAAAATGCTGTAAACAAAGAATGCTTTCAGACATATAAATAATGATTGTTTATTTTTGTCAATTTTCAAAATGCAAAGTGAGCGAACAAAAGAAAAATCTAAATTAAATCAAATCAATATTTGGTGTGACCACTCTTGGCCTTCAAACCAGCATCAATTCTCATAGGTACACTTGCACAAAGTCAGGGGGCTTGCAGGATTATACTCAGGTGTATGATCAACCAATTATACCAAATGAGTGCTAATGATCATCAATGTCACACATAGGTTGAAACCCAATCATGAACTGAAACAGAAACAGCTGTGTAGGCTTAAAACTGGGTGGGGAGACGAGGAGGAACCAACGTTGCGACGATATGGATGTGCGGTCTCGATGCTCCGAGACTACAGCCAATACTTTTGCTGCTGAGTGGCCAATCGGACTAAAACCATCCCACAGAGACAGTAAACAGAAAAAATGCTGATCTCAGGGACATCGCAAAGTCCCTGATCGATGCAAGAGAAGTTCTTCAAGCCGGCAACAAAAAATTCAGCCAAGGCTGATGAAGTCAGGGCGGCTCCAAAATGGAAGGATATGAAAAAAGCAAGTGTTTCCAGCTGGAGAGGAATTTTTACTGTTTTAAAAAGAGACTGCTTATAAAAAACTTAAAATTAATTTTAATTGGAGAACAGAAGAAATAAGCAGTGGAATTAAATTTGAAATGGTTTTGGACAGTGGGTTATCTTACTTTTAAAATGCTATCTTCATGGATGAAATTCATGCAAGCCTTTTAAAACGAATTGATTAAGTTTTCTTCTATTTTTTTCTTTTATTATTCTTTGCAGCCTATGGACTAAAATTCTCCTCTTTCATTACTGTGGGTGTTTTTCTAACATTCAAGAATCGGACTTTTTTTAAAACTTGAAATAAACAAAAAAGATACAAAAAGAAACAAAGAAAATTGCACAATAACACTGCTACTCGGAGGCTGGAAGGTTTGTGTATTGGAAACGACCGTTGACTTACCTGAACGGTCCTTCTATGTGTGCTGCGAGAGGAATCCAATCATGGGTTAACTTTGTCCATTAGCCTAGAGACTGAGTATGCAAATCTTGACCACATCTCCTCAGACTGGACCGGATCAGTTTTGCACAAAGTCAGCCATTGAAAGATGCATGCCAATGTCACTCATGGCCATAGCCACGCAGGTATTAAGTCACGTCCAGAGAAAGTCCAGTCAGGCGAAAGTCAAGGTTAGTCATAAGTCATAGTCAAGGAGAAGCCCTGGCCAGCCAAAACTGCGGGCGGGTTTGGATTCCCCTCGCAGCACACATAGAAGGACCGTTCAGGTAAGTCAATGGTCGTTCTCCTGTGTGCTGCTTGGGGAATCCAATCATGGGACATGCCAAAGCAATTAAGTCCCAGGGCGGGAGCTAGGCTGGTCAGGATCCTCCGCAGACGAAAGGACTCTTTGCAACACTCTCCGCCCAAAGGAGGCCTCAGCCGAGGCATATACGTCAACTTTGTAGTGTCTAATAAATGGCGAGGGCGACGCCCAAGTAGCTGCCCTGCAGATCTCCACCGAGGCTTGCGTAGCCCAGGCCGCCGTGGTAGCCGCACTTCTGGTAGAATGAGGCATAATACGTCTGGGAACTGGTTGGGATTGACTGTCGTATGCCAAAGCAATGCACGCCTTTAACCATTGGCCGATGGTGTGGGAGGACACCTTCTGTCCCATGGACGACGGCTGGAAGGAAACAAAAAGCCCCTGATCTTCTGAACGAGGCCGTGCGCTTAACATAACGTCGGAGGGTTCTATGAACATCCAAATGGTGCCACTGGCGCTCTTGGGGATGGGACGGGTGCGGGCAGAAGTCCGGAAGGACGAGCTCCTGAGCCCTGTGGAACAGCGTATTGACCTTCGGAAGGAAGGGTCCAAACGGAGGACTACTCTGTTAGGATGGAATATGCAGAGATCCGCACGGACAGACAGCACTGCCAACTCCGAAACCCTCCTGGCCGATGTAATGGCCACCAGGAACACAGTCTTAAGCGTCAGCAGCCGAAGGCTGATGGATTGGATAGGCTCAAACGGGGCAGATGTGAGAGCCCTGAGCACCAAGGTCAAGTTCCAGGTAGGATAACAGTGGACTGTCGGAGGTCTCAAGTTTGTCGCACCTTTCAGGAAAGCCTTGACCCGTGAATGCTGGGACAAGGAACGGCCCTGGCCGCCTCCCACCACCGTGGATAATGCTGTGACTTGCCGACGGAGTGTGTTACGCGTGAGGCCCTTATTGAGTCCTGATTGTAAGAAGTCCAAGACCTGTGGCACCGAAGCCTTGATGGGGTCAGCCCCGGTATGACGGTACCACCTACAGAAGGCCTGCCAGGTGGCCTCGTAAATACAAGTAGTGGATGGATGTCGGGCCGCCTGGATAGTATCAATCACCTGACTCGAATAGTGAAGGTCTGTCAAAATAGCCCGCTCACGTGCCACACGGCTAACTGTAGGAGCTGGGGGTTCGGATGGATGAGAGCCCCCTGGTTGAGCTGGATCTGGTTGTCCGGAATCCTCCACGGCCACGAGACTGACAGGTGCATGAGGTGTGCGTACCAGGGACGTCTGGACCACATCTGTGCAACCAACAGCACCTCCGCCTGTTCTGTCAGAATCTTCTGGATGACCAACGGAAGAATCGGGAGAGGGGGAAAGGCATAGAGGAGGCCAGCTGGCCAAGAACTGCGTAAAGCATCCACCCTCTCCACTCCGGGGACCTGGTACCTGGCGTAAAACCTTGGAAGTTGTGTGTTGTGCGGTTGCACAAACAGATCTACCTCGGGACGGCCGAACCTGTGAGAGAGTTCCCGGAAGAGGTCGGGGTGGAGTTGCCACTCCGCTTGATTCACTGTGGCTCTGCTCAGCTAGTCTGCCTGTGGGTTGGCCACACCCGAGATGTGCTCCGCCCGGACTGACAAGAGCTTGGTCTCCGCCCAGCGATGTAACCTCTCTGCCTCCAGCATCAGGGCCTTGGAGTGGGTGCCCCCTTGGCGGTTGACATGGGCCTTGGAGGCAACGTTGTCGGTTAAGACCAACACGTGGTTGTGTGAGACAATGTCCCGAAACTCCAGGAGGGCTAGGTGGATGGCATGTAGTTCTAGCCAATTTATGCTGTTCGACAGTTCCTGACTCGACCAGTGCCCCTAAGCTACACGGTCCAGGGCGTGGGCCCCCCATCCAAACAGACTGGCATCCATTGTAATCTGGATGCGGTCTGGTTCCTTGAAGGGATACCCCTGCAGGAGCTTGGAAGACGTCCACCAGCGAAGGGAAATGAGAGGCTTGTGTGGGAGCCGAACCTTGGATTGGGAGTGACTGGTGTGTGCCCTCTGGAAGGGGAGCAGGAACCACTGCAGTGGGCGCGCATGGAATCTGGCCCAGGGAACCACGTTGATGCAAGATATCATTTTCCCCAGCAATTTGGACAGCGTCGCCAACGGCAAGAGTCTTTGGGACATAACTTGAGTGGCCAGGTGCTGGATGGTTTGTCACCTCTCTGGAGAGAGAGAGAGACCTTGCAAGACACTGAGTCTATGATGGTTCCCAGGTGGAGCAGTGAGGTGGTCGACTGCAGGTGGCTCTTGGGAAGGTTGAGAATGAACCTGTGACTGCGCAGCGAGTCCATCATGATTTGCAGATCTCGTAGGGCCTGGTTCCAGGACGAGGACAGAACCAAGATGTCGTCCAAATAGCAATTCACTCGTATTGGAACCGAGTGAAGTGATGCCGCTATCACTGCTAGAAGTTTCGTGAACGTGCATGGGGCCGATGAGAGGCCAAAGGGTAAGGCCCGGTATTGAAAGTGACGCCCATTTAACTGGAAGCGTAGGAAACGCCAATGTGCTGGATGTATGGGCACGTGGAGGTACGCCTCCTTGATATCGACTGATGTCATCATGTTGCCCTGGCGGATGGAGGCCAGTATGCTGTTGAGAGATTGCATTTTGAATTTTTGGTATTTGATGTACCGATTTAGCCTTTTCAAATCTAGGATGGCCCGCCATCTCCCCGAGTTCTTGGGCACCAGGAACAAGATGGAATAGAATACTAGGCCCTCCTGCCCCTTCGGCACCTGTTCCACCGCCCTGATGGTGAGAAGGGGATGTATTTCGGCGTCCATGAGTCGCCATTTTGTTGGGCACCTGGGTACGGGGCACTTGATGAACCGTCTCGGGGGAATGGAGAGAAATTCTAGAGTGAGGCCCAGCCTCACGACCTGCAGGGCCCAGGCGTCGGATGTGATCTCCGCCCACTGATGGGCGAAGGCCAGGAGACGCCCCCCTATGGCTTCCTCCCCCTGTGAGTCAACGGTACCTCCGAAAGGACCGGTTTCCGGCTCCACGAAACTGCCTCCTAGTCTGGGGCTGCGTCTGATTCTGCTGGCGACCCATATCCCTGGTGGCCGCTCGATCCTGGCCGCGATCCTGTGACTGGGAGAAACCCCTATTGTAGTGGGGAACATAGGGAGCAGGGGCGAATCCAGAGTCCCCAGCTGTCGTCTATTGTAAGGCTGTTGCCTTCTATGGGCCCGATCCCCTGTGGATGGAAGAACCTTACGCTTATCCCTGGTCTCAATGAGGATGGGATCCAGCACAGACCCAAACAAGGCACTGCCCTTGAAGGGCATGGATGCAAGGTGCCACATGGACTTGACATCAGCCTGCCAATGGCGGAGCCACAGCAACCGCCGGGATGCCACATTAGAGACTAAGGCTAGAGAGACGAACTTCGCTGCGCTAAGGGTGGCATCTGCAGCAAACTCTAAGGCTGCCATTAATTTAGTAATATCCTGGTGAAGGCGCGCTTCCTCCGGCGCAAGCCTACTCTGCAATTGTTTAAGCCAGACCAAGGAAGTCCTATTAAAAAAGGACGCTGCTGTAGCTGAGCGTAAGGCCCAGGCTGCAGCCTGATGAGTCTTGCGAATAACTGTTTCGGCCTTACGGTCCTCTGCCTTCAGGCCCTCCGAAATTTCGGATGGAATTAATGCTGGAGAGGCGAGGGCAGCAATGGGAGCATCAACTGTTGGAAACTGGAGAAGAGCTTCCAACTCAGGAGTAGAGGTGTAGACTTTCCTATCCCCATTGCTAGGTGGGTTAACCGCAGTCAGTTGATCCCACTGCTTTTGAATCAGATCAAGAAACAACTTGGGTGAGGGAATAACATCCTGCAAAGCCACTTGCTCAGTGAAGAGTCGCTCAGTAGCATCTAATCCTACAGCTGTGCTGTCCTTAGAGGCCGCCTCCCCCATATGGGTGGTGGTTTTAGCCTTATACAGTAATGATTTAAAGAGAGAATGTCGAAATAAACCAGGGGCAGTAGGCTGGTCCAGGGGCAAGCCCTCATCATCAGAAAATTCCCTGTCAATAACCTCGCCTTCCTCCACTAATGCTGACTCCTCGCTATAAACAGAGGGTAGAGGCGAGGGTGGGTCAGTCTGGAGAATAGAGGAATCTCCCTGCACTGGCTGGGGATCAGGCCCAGCATGGACCACAGTGGCTCTAGGAGGCTGGGCTCTACGAAGCAGCTCCGCATCCACCCCCCTAGAAATAGCTGCAGAGATCATGTGGTACAAATCAGGAGGAAGGCCCAAATCCTGGCCTTCCATAGGCCTGAAACCTGCAGCAGTAGGGGTAAATGTAGCAGAAGGCCCTGCACGTGGAGGCAAATGGGCCAAAGCTCCACCTAGCTCCGAGAGAGACAGAGGGAATTGGGGCCCCAAACCCTCTTCTGCAGAAATGGGAGCCCGGGGTAATTGAATATCAGGCGACCAACCCTGCTCTGTAGGGCGTGCTGGAGATGCCCGTTGCGGGATTAGTACCAGGGGTGAGTCATGAGGTGCTTTAGAGGCCTTAGATGGGGCCTTGGACTTATCCCTGCACTTATGGGATTTGTCCTTAATGGTGGATGAGGCCTGAGGCCTATTGCTGGAGGCCCGAGTGGTGGCCCTGCCGGGCCTAGGGCTACCCCCCCCTCACCAGGGGAACGGGGCTCACAAACTGGCTCCCCAATACCTTTGGACCCAGACTGGTCTGCCATTGTACGAGAGGGAAGAGATTTGGAAAGGCTCAACCTCGTGAAATGAATACAGGCTCCTTCGCACAAAGCGTCACGTGCAAACAGTAACTGGCTGAGATGACCTCCCCACTGACTCAGCAAGCCGCAAGTGAGAAAGAGGAGGTCCGTTGGAGTGGTGCTGATGCCAGGGCGCAAAATCACACACCTCGCCCTCTCCGGCCGATTCCTGCACATGCGCAGAGGCCCAAACCAAAATGGCGGCCATCTCCGAGAGCGCGGAGATTCAAACCGGCACAGCCATGAATGGTCGCTGGAAAGCCTTGCAGCCACAAGCCTGAGGCGAACCCCCCCCCGCAGATCTCACCAAGGCAGCACGGCGCAGCAAGGGAAAGGCACCTGGGTTGAACCGCGCCTCAGTGGCAGGTTGCTCCCGGCATGAAATAGCACAGGGCGGCGCACCGGCCCAGGACGCGCACAGAATTCAAGCGGGGGGGGAGGCTCCAATGCCACCCTGCAAGCGTTGCTGCCCTGTCCTGGCTGAAGAGCCTATGGACCTCGCAGCCCCCGATCTCAGGCAAGTAACCCGCTGATAGGGAGGATCTGGGCTTGCAGCGAACTGCCGCCTCCACCTCTGAAGAGATATTCGAGATTAAATCGCAATGTGTGACTGCAGAATCCAATTAAAGATGAAATTTGTCGATTAGTCTAGAGAGAAAATTGAAATGCATCTCGTTAGGCTGGACTGAGTAAAAAAACTGATCCGGTCCAGTCTGAGGAAGCGTGGTCAAGATTTGCATGCTCAGTCTCTAGGCTAATGGACAAAGTTAACCCATGATTGGATTCCCCAAGCAGCACACAGGAGAACAAAACACTCTTGTTTTTCTCACTGATTATCCTGGCTTGGCACTTCAAGGTCTTGCTGTTTATTTATAGAGAGTGATAAGAAGAAAAGCATACAGATGTCCCTTTGAAGTATATCTTTAACAGAGAAAAGTGAAAATAAAATGTTATTGTGAATCTATGCTTAATCTTATTAACCTTTGAAGCTAGAGCAGCAGTGTTTGTTACCTGGAGATAATGGCACAATTTCAACAGCAAATAGAAACTCTAAGTCTGCAAAAGATATTCTCAGAAATACAGAAATTATCAAATACATATGAGAGGATAGAGAAGAAGCTGGTAGAACATCTAACAACAAAATATGATGAAGAATTTGAGGAGGTTTATCAAGTGGAAAAAGTGGTGGTTAAAACCCCTAAAAATAGAAGAGGAAAATGAATA